AACTAAAATCAATTTAACAAAATAAACAAGAATATTTTTCCATTATCGGTACATATAACAGAAAATATTCTTATTAATATTGTAATATTTATTTCAAACATATCGCTCAACACCATCCCCTTGCACTTCTTTGCAATTCATAGTTTTCAGTTACGTGACTTGCACGGAGCCCTGGATGGCAAAATAATGTTCCAATATGGTGACACTGGACAGAAGAAAAACAAAGATATGTGAACAAACTGCAAGTTTTGGGTGCTTGCGATCCATACACAGCACCCGCCATAGTATTTCAGTCACTGAAAACAGTGAAGTCCCTGCCAGAGCTCCAGTTTTCCGATGTTTACAGCTATCTTGTGGAGAATCCCTTCCCCTACACTGCCGCCAGAATGAAAGAATGTCATGTTTTAACTGATCGGTATTGGCTTTGCTGAGCTTTATTGACCAGATCTGATCTTTTATTTTATTTCAGCTGTCACACAGTTATTTTTACTCCTGGATGTTCCTTTAAGGATGAACATATAGAGAATGTAACTTGCTGCCTACAAATTCCCATTAAGTGCAGTGCACACAGCAAACTCTGCAGATTCTCTGCACTTTGTGGTTTCACAAGTAACCCCAAGTCCACTGACACTTAACTGAACTTGGGGCTTTGGTGGCCCCTGGGGATTTGGATCTGGATTTCTGAATGGAAGAAGGCTGTAGCTATGTCTATGAAATAGGCAGAAACAGTCGAACAGCTCACTGGCTGGAATAAACATTTTTATTAAGTTATAGTTTTAGAAAAAAATCCAACACAAATTCACAAACAATGATTAACATGCACAATTTTAGTATACAAGACAAAACAGTTACTTTTCAATATGAAAATGCCATTCTACATGTCAGTATCTCACAGAGATAATTGATTAATACACCAGTATTAAGGTGGGAGAACACACTATATAAAAGCAATAAGGTTGTCTTTGATGGCCATGTTTAAAAAATATATGCAAGCTATTTACACTGCAGTTACAGTCCTTTCTAGCCACAACAATCACAGAAACCAATCTACACAAACCGACCTTGTGGATATAAATAGATATGTTGTTATTCTGAGATACAATACATGTCAACCATTCCAGCTGGTGGCTCCAATCACTTCCTTCAGTTCTTTAAGATTGTACTTTGTATTTATTAAAGCACAAGGCCAGAAACAATAGTTTTGTTTTCTTATGTGAGCTTGAGCAGAAGTAAGAAACATTGCGGCTGAATTACAACTATGTAAATAATAAGAAAGCTCTGAGAAACTGCCACACATTTAAGCGCTGTAAATTAATTTACTATGAGTCTGCCACATAGACTGTATATAGGGATGGACACATCTCCACTTTTAAATATCCCAGATATGGGCGTTGTCATCTTGCGTAGATGACGTCATTTGGAGCTAGTAGTGATCGGGGTTATGGAGCTGCGGTATCAAGGTCCCACCCATGTACTCACGCAGGGGTTGGCTGTCAATCATGACATCAAAGACCCTTTTAATTCAAACCAAACTTACCAGAAAAAACGAACACTTGAACATACATTATCCTGATAAGAACACCTTCAAATTATCATGTTTTTGTATTTTTAATTTTTTATAAATTTTTTTTAATGACCAGTAGCTACTGCAGCCAGCCACCAGGGGGCGATCGAGATGTTTTGGCTTCACTTTTGGGAAATCATGTCGTCCATACTTAAATACAGTCAGCAGTCTGCCATCTGACATTACTTGGATATTAACGGAAATATTAACACTTGGCTCACGTATGTGCACACACAAGCTACGTTGAGGCCCGTTCACACCAGAAAGTGGCACAGCGATATTCATCCACACGACTTTGAAAAACAGGTGTTGCTAGATGCTTGGCGACATAGTGAATACTCGCTGGGCTAGTTTGTGGACTACTGTAGCTGTCGAGCTAATGACCTAAACACGCTAGACAGCTGGGAAAATGCTAGTTGTAGTATTTTTGTTTTCAAGATTGTACAAAATTTTTAGAAAAAAAAAATTCTCTAAGCTAGCTAGCCTGCCCACTGTCAGTTAGAAAGCTCATTAGCTTGGTAAATAGCGGGACATTAAGTTCACACAGTTTATTAAATATATATTTAGAACCATCAAAACCGGTCTAAAAATCATACCTCTTTCATGGAGCAGGTTACACTCCAATAGAGGAGGGTTAGACAAAAAAGGACAGTACAACACAGCTAATAAGCTATGTTAGCTTCCTCCATAGATTATTCGGTTCCCTCAAAGGTAAGCAATGCAAAGGTAAGATAGCTTGCTAATGGTCAACGGCACCAAAAAGTTCACCAAAGTTTAACTCCACGCAAAAAATGTACACGTATTTACTTTGCCCCATAAGTGAATCCGCTTATAGCAGCAATTCCATTGAAATGAACTGATTTCACCATAAAATTTTACTTTTTTGAATGCTGGTGTGACTGGGCTTATATGCAGTTGGAAAGAAAGATACAGTAGTAATACTGCCCGAGGCAGCCCAACACTGGTTGTGTTCAACATGTAACTCAAAAGAATCAACCAGCCAATCAATTTTCAGGTCATTTGCCCCAATTCAAAGTCACAATCTATAACTACACTACAAAATACTTGTAAAATATGTGAAAAGTTGAGAAAATACAGTGAGATTTCTAGTAAAAGCAAACCAAAACACAACAGAAAAAGAATGCCTTTGAAGTCTGATAGGGAGTAAAGTAGTGGAGGACATCTGAAACATCATTGACTGTAACACAACAGAATGAGTGCAATAAGAAAGCGGCCATCAGTCAATCAAGCAGCTGAATTGTGACAGCTGTAATAATGGGGCAGGAAAATCAATATCCCATTGACTGGTCTGCAGCAGTCTAATCAACGAGCACAGAGCTTTATGAAACCAGTCAAGGAGCAGATAGGACAGACTGATTATGTCGGCCGTTTGGACTTTTTACGAGGCCTCTGGGGTCTGCACACCTGTTCAGACGGCTAAGTGAGGACATCCAGTCACCTTGCATCAATTCCTTGTGCTTTCATACGACATTGGGGGGGGGGGTAAAAAGTGCAAAATACAGACGACGACAGCCTCCGAGCTAATGACCTACACAGCCCCATGTTCGGTAAAGGCACAGTAATGTGTAGCAGTTCAGTTGACTGTATCCTTCCACATCCACATGAACATTGTCAGGACCCCAGTAATCACACCTCGGCTCTTACTTGGGTGGCTTTTGACAGACTCATCCACATGATAAAAGGGCGTGAAAAGTAGCTCCCTCAGCAGAGTAGCAATGTTCTTTTGTTACTGTTCAGTCTGGTGTGTGTCCAATAGACGGTGATGGGGTGGGGGGTGGGGGTGGGGGTAAAATGACAGCCATGCCTTTCGCTCCATTTCCAGTCAGGGTTCTTTCACTGTGGTATTGGCATCAATTATTCTGATGCCTTAATAGCCCATAAATTATGCCACGGATGGATTCATACATTTATAATACCACAGACCATAAATACTAAAACCAAAATTTCCACCATATATCTCAATCCACTGCGGCTTTCCTAAAGCTTCCAACCAATTTTGTCTTAGGTGCCCCGGTGTACTTGCCTCAGTGAAAATGTAATCAACATACCCTTTCCCATAATGGGCTCCCTCTACATTCGTAGTTTCCGGTCCTTCCTAATTTAATTAATTTTAATTAAAACTAATTTTTTCAGAAAAAAAAGCAAAACAATGAGTCTTCTGCAACATGAATCTTTCCCCTAAGCTATTTTAAAAGGAAAGAAGGAGGGAAAAAAAATCTGCGTGAGCTCTGGTGAAGGCACTGTTATCCTGTAGTCCATTGTGCACTGGGCCAGCTGGTCATCAGGGGTGTGGATGGCACATGTTCTGTGATATGATATACATATCTAGAACACAGGTCGTCTAAATGTAGAGGAGGGACAGTACACATGGGATCTGCTTGACTTAGTAACACCCGACTTCTCTATTCTCTGCAATATTTTTCGCTAGACTGAGAATGCAGAGTGTGATAGGCATTTATTATTTAGAGGAGCACGAGATAGAGAGCAAATGCCAGGATCTATATCTAGTATTGTAGAGAGCTCAGGAGCCAGGTGCTCTCAAACTGACCAAATATTATTTCAGTACGTATAGGGATAAGTGGGTTCGAGGCACAGTTGATCAATTTTCTATGTAACTTTAACATATCTGACAAAGCTTGGTAAAACTTTTGAGCCTGCAATGGATGTTTCTTTTAGCAAAAGCTGCATAAAATGTGGTAACTGTGGATATTAGATGCTATTCTATTAATGGAACTGATTTACTTTAAGATTTATTTTTGAGACAATAAAATATGGATGCAACCAATGAATACAGGCTAGGAGAAGTTGACCTTGAGAAGATAAATTCTTGTAGAATCTTTTGCAAAAGATTCTATGTAGGGTTAAAGAAACCATAAAGCAAGCAGCCTCTGTCACCTACTTTGGTATGGACTGTATGTGTAAAATGGGTTTTAAGGCAGTAGTATCTCCAAAGAGACTCATAAGATAAGTCATGTAGACATCATAACTTCTAAAATGAAACCTAGAGCACAGTGGCACTTATGACGCTGAAAGAAATACCGAAAGATATCATGCACGCAGATCATCAAGTCTCTATCCGATGGTCCTTTAAAAGAAAGTGGCGTGGTCCCTTTAAGAATTCGGCGGAGTCCAGTCCTTTCCAGTCTTTCCCAGCCCTGCCACTGAAGCCCGGGCCTTGTGCCAGTCCAGTGGTGGGTTTTACATAGGACAGGCTGACTGAAGGGATGGAGGGGGAGGGAGGGCACTCTGTAGGCTCTGATTAGACATCACCAGACGGAGCAGAGCAGTGCACTGATGAGGACTGCAGAGAGGTACAATGGGCTGAGGCGGATCGCTCCTGAACCCCGCGCTCCCATGCCTGCAACAAAAACCAGCAGAGCAGCTTGTGAAGAAACCAGAAATACCCCCCCAATCAAAAGAAGAAAACCTGCTCTCTGCTGCACTATCCTCTAAATTTCTGACAAGTCATCATAAATCAAAAGCCTTGTGTGATTTCTTTTTTTTCCATATCTACATTATTACTGGCTTTCAACAGGAGAGGCTATTTAGGTATCCTGAGAAGATAAAGTTCGTATCACATCAAAGAGGAGAACGGCAAACTGAGCCGCCTCACAATTTTGCACAGCAGTGGGATGGGAGCACAGAACTGCTTTATATGCTGCAGCGCTGTGCAGCCAGTCAACAAGGAATAATAACCCCATGGCAGAGATGGATGACACCGCGCACGCATTTCTAAAAAGGTCGCTTTTCTCGCACTCAAAATAAGTCTATTACACATGGTTGGAAAGGGATGCAATGGAGCCAAATTAAACGTTGTAACTGAATTACTGAATCCTCACAAAAGCTTTATCCGTGGTCAAAAAGGAAATGATATAAAGAAGAGAAGACAACAGTGAACTCACTTAATTTATGGATGTGGATGGGTTCACTGCCCGCGCCTTCGCCGCCCTCACTCATGGCCTTGATCTGAATGAGATAGTTGTCATTGGTGGAGAGGCTGAGCTCCACAGTGGTTTTGTTAGTCAAGATGGTATTGATGTCATTGTAGCGGTGTCTCTTCAGCAGCACCTAAGGCAGGAGAGGGTGATGCAGAAAAATGAGCTTAATGCAAAAACCGTCATCCTTGATTCTGGAGATAAATCAGAACTTTGCAGTGAATTGGGGCCTACCAAATATCCAGTGACCTTTGACTCTGTCTCCATAGCTACTACATGATCCCAGTGCAGCGTGAGTGTGGAGCCAATCATGGTCCATTGTATGTTGAGCGGAGCCCGATCTGGAGCTGAACAAAGAAAAGAGGTAAAAATATACTACTAAAGCAAATGCAAATAAATAAAGCAAATTATAGTCAGTGATTTCTTCAGTATTCCTCTTGAAAAAAAACCCTCATCTTATCCATCTGAATAATACATTGAGGCTGCAGCATAGCACCCTTACTAATTAGGAGTGGCCCGAGATCTCACACACACTGAAGACACACACTTAAATAGACGAAATAAAAGCAAATGAAGAAAACATCATCACTAATTTGACAACACAGAAACCCTGCAGTCGCACAGAACACCACGGACAGGACAACTACACAACTGGAATCTAACTGATGACCTTTGCTGCAATACTCTCGCCCCCATTTCCTGTCTCTCTCTCCACTATTGTCTAATAAACGTACCCCAGTAGTTCAGTCTAAGTAAAGTTCAGGATGATTTGGAATTTCTTTTAATAATAACTAACTGATAAAAACAGGCTTATCGCTGTTGTTGCTGTGTTGTTTTCTTTTCTTTTGTTCTTATATTGTGACAGTATTTTGAATGGTTTCTTATTGTTGATCTTTGTTTTGTTTTAATATATTTTGTCAAGCACTTTGTAAACTTGTTTAGACTTGCAGCGATTTTCGGTTCTTTCTCAGAATGCTGCACGTTTTTTCAAATTGGTTGACATTTGCTTGTGTTTTGTATTTGCGTGTCTTTTTTTTTACATTTGCTTTTAGATCTTAGCCACCATAGAATTGTCACTATTTTGGTAAATTATTTTTTATTAAAACAGCCCTTTTCTGGCCTACCTACCACCAAGTACTTTACAACACTTGTCACATTCCCCTATTCACACACACGTTCATACACTGATGGCAGAGGATGCCATGTATGGTGCCAACTGCTCATCAGGAGCAATCAAGCGCTTGCTATCAAACACGCTCAAGATGATAGTAAGCTCATCCACAGACAAACACTCACACACCGGCGGCACAGCCATCGGGAGCAATTTGGCATCAGTATATCTTGCCCAAGGACACTTCGACTGAACAGGGGGAGTCGAGAATTGAACCAGTGACCCTCCTATTACTGCTATAACAACTGAGCCTCTCCCACCCAACATAAAATTGTAGCGTCAAACACTGTAGGGTCACTGGCAGCAAATTTCTGGCCACAGGAAATGAAAAAGAGATACGACCAGAGGAAGCAGGACACTGATCTCGGAGTCATGAAACATGAGAATGCTATGGTTACTTTTTCACTTAACTTGCACAATGTCTGGGCTGAAATCCAAAAATCTCAAGACTCTAGCTTGTGTCTAGGTGTCTAGTTTAGCTTTAACATCACTTGTCCATTTTTAATACCTAAAACTCTGTCTTTATTTTTTCACTCTGGCTATGTTCCTCTCAACCCACCGATTTACTTCTCTTATTCTTTTCCAAGGTAAATGGAAAGGACTTGTCGGACTGCATTTAGTGAGCACAACAAAAAAAGCGGAAGAAATGCTATGCCTATATTGTTGAGGACATCTGAGAGAGACGTGGTTCATGGACGAGGACCATTTAGAGATGATTTCAATGCCCCTCTGGGATGGACTCACGTGGTTTCTTTGTGGTGGTGTTGATGGGCGCCGACTGTGGCCCGGGGCCAGCCGTATTGAAAGCAGCCACAGAGAGGTAGTACACTGTGTTCGCTTTCAACCCCGTGATGTTAACCAGTGTGTAGTTTCCAGATATGCGCACTTTGCCAACAGTGTCAGGCTTGGTGTCGTCTTCCCAGTACACGGCCTGTGTGAAAGAATTAATAAATAAAAAAGTCACAATCATGCGCACCAACAGTCAGATTCTAGTGGTGCATTTCACTGCATTATTGAAATTCATATTCCATCGTTAAATCTGAAATGCTGTTTGTATTACAGAAAGGGAGGGAGGGAGAGATGATGAATAATAAATTTTTCACTAGTGGAGTCTCAATTACTGATGCACATCCTCTCAACCACCCTGGCCATATAAACAGGGCATTAGTGGGTCATATGATAACCGTCATAGGAGGAAAAAATCATGATAACTATCCGTTAAAGTGGAGAGGTTATGGATAAATCTTACAGATATTTCTAAATGCTTTATATGTATTTAGAAATCACAGCAAAGCAGGAGGCCTACTCTGTTAAACAAGATGCAGAGTTTGCTTTCCTTCAGGCTATTAGTCTCCAATTAAGGGTGCAGGTGAAGAGATATTTGATAAAACAAATGGACTTTGCCGCTCGCTTTGGGTCATCTTCAATATTCATGTGTCTGGTATTAAGTGACATGAGAGTTAAGTCGATAAATAATTAAATTGAAATGTGAAGTCTGCCCTCGGGGATACTCTTGCTGTAAATTATTTCATTTCAAATGTGTTATCAATTAAAGCTGTGTAAGATAAACAGCTGAATTCAGATTACAGTAATGTAATCTTTTGAGCAGTAATAATAATGATTACATTAAAGTGAAACTGGATTGCATCTGCAGTCCTAACAACGCTAATTAAAGGCTGTGTGCCATATATGTGCAGTCCACTGCTCAGGATCCATACTGTTGGTGGCATATTGAGATTCAGCAGCTTATCCACTTCAGGACCGCATTTGGAGGCATAAGCTCTGTTCTAAAAGGACAATGTGGCAACTGCTATGGCAACTGCAGAGCTTTGTGCTGAGGACCAGAGGTGACAGATATTGAAAGAGCACCGGGGGAGAAAAAAACAGCAAAGCCCTCTTTGCATCCTTGAAAGGATTTTCCCCCCTCTTTTGGGTTTGCTGTTGGTGTTGAGATCATTTCATGATGTTATTCAAACAAAATCTATGTAGAGATACACAAGAAGATATAGTAGAATATTATAAGTTTACATAAAAACTAATTTTAAGAACAATGAAAGGACGGTTTTGAGCTGATGAACAAGCCACAGAGAAAAGCTCAATTATCATGTTATTTGAGAAAAAATAATGGTTTTGCAGCGAGCTATAACGTACCTCATATCCAAGCACTCTTTCTGGGATGGCGGGGAGAACTTCCCAGATCACTTCAATTTGCACTGCAGACACACTTCTAGTCCTAACCCTCTTAGGAGCCACACTGGGGACTGCAGAAATAGAGCAATGGTGAGAATCCCGGAGACTTATCCAACACCATCACACACACACTAACAGCAATACGAGCAAAGGCACAGAATAGACCTGTAGTTTCACTGAGAAGCTTTTTCCCCAGCTCTCTTTTAATGGGATCTGTGACTGACATAAGGGAAGACTATCTGCCCAGCAAATTCAATTAACAGAATACCTCTCTGACAGCGCAGTGTGGTAAGTGTCTGCTAGGATTTCCTGTAATCTACCAGCATGATAACTAATATCAAGTTGACATTCCCAGCTCGAGAGTGGAGGGAAATAACAGCACTGGGGGAAAAATCTTTTCATCATTACTATTCAAGGTCATAGATGAACAGAGACAGATTATAGCTTATTTAGGCACAGCTCTCTGTACCTTCCTCTGCCGAGTACACGGTGGCAATAGAGCTGAAGGGCCCCTCGCCTCGGTTGTTGTACGCCCCCACTTTCACATCAAAAGGCGAGAAGGGTGGGATGGTGTCGTTGCGGAAGACGTAGCGCGCCACGCCAGGTGTGGAGATAACCGCTCGCGTCCACGTGACCGTGCCCACAGGCCTGAAGGCGATGATGTAGCCGAAGCCCTCTCCGTTCTGCAGTTCCTCGGGAACAGGCTGGGAGCAAAACACAAAACTATAGTGATATTAAAACGCATACAGACAAAGAAACAGACAGGCCCATCTCTGCGCTGTACCTCGGACAAGGGCTTCTGTGATTAGACAGAGCCTCTCTCTTTGTTACCGCCCATAACCCTCCACAATCACCTTTTGCCTTATCTTTTCCTCCTGCATGGCTATGTAATTGTGGCTAAAGTGCAAAACTCTTAAGAGGAAGTGCTCTCTGTCCCTGCTTTCGGAGGGAGAAATGGCACTCGGAGGCTGTGCCGGAGGAGAGGAGTCTCACTCTAATGTGGGTCATAAAATTGCTCCGTTCAATTCTGCACAATTAAGCAAAACCATTACTCGGCCATGGAGAGAACAGTAAAATGTAACAGATGACTTACCTCCCATGTTATCACTAATTCAGACTTTGTGCCGCCTCCACCTCCAACATCAGTGGGAGCTGTGTCAGGAACTGAGAGGTAAAGCCCAGAGGGGAACAATTAGAACACAGTTTACAAAGCTCAACGAGAAGCCTCAACTATACTTGTAGCCTTATGACAAGGCTGCCTGCTGCAGATACCGTGCTCTATTCTACATTCCACAAATCCCTTAGTCCGTGCAAACAAACATTTCAGAGAACGGTGAATTACTGATATTGCCCAAATGTCACTGTGCATAAATACCAAGCCAAGATCTGTAGTATTTTGCAAATGACATTCGACTCAACCCACTCCATTCCTATTCCCACTCAGCTGTTTGTGCACTGCAGTGTAATGGCGAAGCTGATAGTGGAGGTGGAGGAGCACTCGTGCCTGTCCTTATAGTATCCTTTAGTAAGTGGAGCATCACATTCAGTATGTCAGCAAATGGTTGTTGCAGCATTCATGTCTGATGCCTGTGTATGGTTGTTGTTGCTGTTAGGGTTGGACACTGGGAAGTGACATCCCAATACGTTTTGGGATGTCACACTTCTGCATATTTATGCATTAATTGAAGATCATGTACTGAAACAGAGCCTGTTATTGTTGTAGCTATATTGTGACCTTGAAATGCCATTAGTACAGCAGTATGACCCATAAATATTTTTTAACCAAATAAGATGAAGCAAGAATATATAGTTATATATAAGTTATTTAAAGGACCAGTGTGTAGTAAGCATGTCACCATACCAGAAATTTAGCAGTTGATACCAGTGAAATTTCGGAATTCTCAATACAGATTGATACCACGGTAAAAACCTAGAGCAAAGCAATAAATCCCATCTACTTCAACTTCAACACTCCTTTTATTAAAAAGATCTGAATATTACAAAAAAAACAACAACAGTGGATCCTTTTCTAATAGTTGTTTCCTTGTTTACTTATTTCACTGTTACTACTCACAAACTATTTTACTAGCTTTTCCATTCAGTACAGCCCCCCCCCCTTTCTTCAGCAGTAAGTTTTATGAAGTCACCCAAAAAACTACCATTTGAGATTTTTTCACCTGTGATTCTGTTTTAACAACAGCAGGCTCGTTGTTAATGACGTAGCCAATCAAAACCATGGAAACCAACGTGGTAACCAATGACATCGGCACCAGCTGGTGTGTTCACTGCTGTTCACTCTTGCTTCACCTGGTCCGCCATAGAGCGTCTGTCTCTGTGTTTCTCTGCAGATCATGTGCCATAGTCATTAGACTGTAAGGAAGTTGCTCTGTCGAGTTGATTCCCTGGTGTCTACAGTACTATAAAAACAAGTACCATCATGTTTTCAAAACGTTGGCATCGACTTGGTACTGAAGTATTGGTTCTCCTGACATCCCTAGAATACCACTTGCCTTCCAAGTAGAAGGCCCTGTCATGTAGGCAAATTTGGTTCCAATCATTTTATCTCGCATCGTATCAAGAGTGAGTGTTTGGTCTGGGCTACTGTAGAAACGTGGCGGTTCAACATGGCAGGTGCCGTAGAAGAGGACCCGCTCCCTCTGTAGAAAAAATTTCTCATTCTAAGGTAACGAAAACACAACATTTTCTTATTTTCAGGTGATTAAAGACTAATGAAA